CTCCGATGCATAAGATAATGCAAAATGTTGTCTCGCCAATATAGGTACTTGTCGTCAAATTCTGTCCATACGAACAGCAAATAAATATAAGTACCTGTACTTTGGTGTGGTAATATAGGAGCCACTTACCTCACTGTCAATCCGATCTTTCGTGGTGCTCGAACTAAGCATATTGAGATCAATTTTCATTTCGTACGAGATCTGGTCAAAAGGAAACATTTGATTGTGAAGTTTGTCTCTAATCGTGATCAACTAGCTGATCTTTTAATAAAGCCACTATCAGTTACATGTTTCACAGCTCTTTCAGACAATCTCAGTCTTCGTATCCTATTCCTGAGATTGTGGGGGCGTGTTGAAGAACAAGTCTTGTACAAGTCACCCCCACCTGATTTGAAGGAGAAGATCATGGAGATCCCGTTGCATTTGTTTGCTAATCTTTTATTCAAATTCAAATGTCATGTGTAGATTAGAGTTATCATGTTGTCCTTTGTTACACTATAAATACACATGTATATAGTTCAATTTCAATAACAAAAAAATATATACAGACTTCTATTTTCTTTCATTCTCTAAATTCTATAGTAAACACAGTTTCCTCAACGCATCACAAAAAGCACAACGTTAAAACTGAATGAAATGAAGGATAATACTACAATCTACTTATTATTCAAACTCAGCGACACATATTACACAGGAAAACCAAAAGACAGTTGAAGGCGTGAAGAGCGAAAGCAGTGACAGACGCATGAGAGACGAAGCTTCTCGAGAAAGAAACGATTAGGAAAAAGTTTATATGAGCACGAAACGATGTCATATACAAAATTATTTAAACGACGTCGTTCTAAACAAGCGAAAACGACGTCGTTCTATATCAAGTGCAAACCGACGACATTTTGGACATAAATGTGAACAATGATGCTATGGCCTCTTATTGGAAATATGAATTGTGCATTGTATCCACACATTAGAATTTGGACGGTTGATTTTCTTGATTCACGCGTGTGTCTTGCAAGAATAATGCATCAGTCGAACAACAATAATCCAAATTTTGCTTAAAAGGACAAAATATTTGTCATAATCCTCTGAGGGGACCGAGAAACTTTTGCTTTCTTCTTTTTGATTCCGTCCAAGTTTCACTTGGCCCCAAATCCAATAGTTTGGTTTACGTAAGTACATTATAAAAGGAAAGGGTAAGGAATAATCATTTATCCCTTTTTGGTACCATATTTTCACCTTAATTACTATAATGTATAAAAAAAGTTAATTATTTACTTTTAAGTTGCTTGGAAATTTTCGCTTGTGAGAATTTGGAATTGAAATTACTTAAGCCATGTTTGATTGCACTTCAGTTCCATGAAAGATAGAAATTATATTTCATTTTCCTCAT